CAATACATGAATAGTTTTTTAAAATTCATTATAATTGTGTATGTTTGGTTGCCATGGAACAATAATGAGGTCAGGTTTTCATGTTTTCCAGAGATGAACCACAATTTTTTAGAAGAATCTGTTAGTGGAACACATGACAATAAAAGTGTTGAGGGTACAATCCAACAGATATACTTTCCATTGGTGGAACACATGATAATAAAAGCAGAATTCAGAGTAAAATGGAACCAGATTTGTTTCCCTAGTGTCAGACAAGATCATCAAAATAACCGTTGGCGTAACTTCACTCCAGTGGGCCCAGCCACAGCTGTGTCCCCTGCAACCATGGGGTGCCATCACTGTCCACTGGGACATTTGGGATATTAGCTGGGAGACATGGGGACACTGAGACTCTAGGGACACTGGCTGAGAGACATGTGACCACTGGGAGACATGGGGACACAGACCTTTGGGGACACGTGGAGACATGGGGACTATGAGAGACATGGGGACACAGACACTGGGAGCCTAGGGGACACTGGGAGCCATGGGGACACTAGGGACACTGGCTGGGAGCCATGGGGACACTGAGACACTAGGGAAACTGGCTGGGAGACATGGGGAGACATGGAGACACTGTGTCCCTAGTGTCTCCGTGTCCCAATGTGTATCCCAATGTCCTTATGTCTCACAGCGTCCCCATGTGTCTCAGCGTCCCCAGGTCTCCCAGTGTCCCCTAGTGTCTCAGTGTCCCCATGTTTCCCTGCTGCCTTTCCCCTCATCCCTCACTTCCCTGAGCTGTAGTCTGTCTCTGCAGGCTGGGAGCTGCTGTCTGAACTCTCTGTGCTGTGTAGCTGCTCCCCCGCAGATTAGTGAGTAGAGAGAGGCAGGGAGGGATATGCTGTAACTTCCTATCCCTGCCTCTCTCCACACACAGTGACCCTTACTGGCTGGTGCTGGTATTGCAGAGTAATCTATGTTTATACTGAGAAAAATATCTGCATTTGTATTGCCGGGATTACTGCAATGGGGAGACGGCCAGGCATCCTCAAATACTATCTGTGCCGGTAAAATACCAGTCAGGTGGCAAACCTAAGAGTAGTGTGTAAAATAAAATAATTTTAAAAAGTAAAAAATATTTTTTTTAATGGGCCTATTCCATTGGCCTGGGCCTGGAGCTGCAGCTCCATCAGCCCCTATGTTAATCCGGCCCTGTGTGGGGGGAATTAAAACATGGAAGGGTGTAAGGAGTAATTAATGCATGGAGGGTGTGGGGGGTATTGTCACGTGGAAGGGATGGGGAGATTGACACATGGAAGAGACAGGGGGAAAATTGACACAGGGAAGGAGAGGGGGGAAATTGACACATGGAAGGGCTGGGAGGGGAATTGACACATGGAGGGATGGGGGAAAATTAAGACATATGGAAGAGACTGGGGGATTGAGACATATGGAGGGACTGGGATGATTGACATTGGAAGGTACTGGTGGGTAATTGAGACATGTGGAATTTACTGGGGGGAGATTGACATTGGAAGGTACTGGTGGGGAATTGAGACACATGCAATTGACTGGGGTGATTAACACATGGAAGGGACAGGGGGGAGTTGAGACACATGGAGGGGATGGGGGAATTAAGACACATGGAGGAATGGGGGGATTGACATATGGAAGGGACTCGGAAATTGAGACACATAGACGGGGCTTGTGGGGGATTGACACATGAAAGTACAGGGGGGATTAAAAAACATGGAAGGAACTGAGGAGAAAATGACACGTGGAAGGGACAGGTGGGGGCCTTGAGACACATGTATAGGGACTGTTAGGAAATTGACACATGGAAGGGACTGGGAGGGAATTGAGACACGTGGAGGGACTGGGGGGATATTGACACATGGAAGGGACTAATGGAAGGGCTGGGTAGGGATGATTTACATGGGGGGGAGGGCAGGGTCATTTTTGCACAAGGACCTGGGGGTTTCTAGTTATGCCTCTGAAAACTACAGCAATATTGTTACAGTGTTACCACCAACCCCATGTGTACTCTATTAAGGGTTAATAAGTGTGTACGGGTTTAGAAAAATACTTTTCTCTGTCTCATTAAAGATTTTGCATTTAAGCTCAAAGAAGCAAGGTGAATGGTTAGAGTATAACTTAACTAAGGTGTTTTTCTTGATGTGGCAGTTGAACTTACACTTTATTGGCCATTGGGGTGGTACTAAAAAAACTCCAGTTATTTAAATGCATATATGGATTTGGTAGTGTGCGCAGGTGAGTTTTTGTTTTAAGATCAACAAAATGCATAATGTCACATATGATCATCAAACCCCTACCCTCCAGAAGGTTCTTCCTTCGTAAGAAAGGAACTGCCTGTACTTTGTATTATGAGAATTTTTCTATGGACCTGCATCTGTGAATTTTACTCTATATGTAAGTCTTTTATTATGTTTTAATAAATTTATTTTACATAATTATGTAATGTGGCTTCTCCACTTTTATGAGATAATAAGTTAACGATTAGACTGTATTAAGAGAGACAAGCAAGCTGATTGAAACTCCTAATGGGTTTACACGGGGTGCTGGGTGACTGTCTCACACCATCACAAAAATGCAAAAATACATTTTCCTAACATGCATACATTTACTGCAAAGCCAATTAGTAGAAGGTTATAACTGGAGCCCAAGTGCTTAATAGCAAGACACATAAAATGGAACACCATTTACTATTTATTAAATGGAATTGAGGCTGAAAAAATATTTATGAGACTAATAATAAAAACAAGTGAAAATAACTTTTGCAAAACATTTACAATCACAAATTGTGGTTTAATTTTGTTAAATATCTAGTTCAATACACTGATGAATGTTCGTAATATTATTATAACACCCTTTTAACATGTAAAATCTACATATAAATCAAATAAGCAAAATAAAATCCATAATGCTATGCAGTACATATTAACATGACAACTTGGTAAATGATTTGGCATTAATATAGGAAATCCTACATGCAAAATTATTTATGTTCCCAGTTAGAAATAATCAAAATGTTTTCTTATTTTAAAATTACATTTACATCCACATACATGGCAGAGAATTGAGGGCTATATTTTTCAATGCGGAACAATCGGTTCTGGTGAAAGTTTTAGTTTTTTTGCATCAGATGTATTTAAGTGACTTATATGAAAAGTATCTATTGGTTACTACAAATAAATAAAGTAATTAAGAGAGCGCATACAAAATCAAAACTAAAAGTAATAATAAATGGTACTTGAAGTACCCTGTAGATACAGCTGCTAGACAAAAAAAGAATTTTCCCAATTCCTATAACAGAGTACTAAAGATATTGTCAGCGCTTAGTGAATACTCCCCTTGAGATAATAACAAGGGTGCAAATATGTTAAGATAATATTGCAATAAACATCTAGACTCCACATGTAACAACTATAAACAGAAGAAAAGATGCAAATAAAAATATATATATAGATATAACAATAAAAGTATACAGAAGTATAGAAAAATGTCTCTAAATAGTCCAAAAAAAGTCTTATAAGATCAAAAAAGAGAGAGGGGGTAACATCCAATGTCTGAATAGATGGATGGAGACTCAAATAGATGCTTGAACATTCCTAGGCAAAAACAGAGAAAACAAATATAGTGTAACTCTGTAAAATTTATTGTCCCAGTTTAACAAACAAAAACCCCCCCTAAATATGAACTCTCACAATGTTGAAAAATATATATATGCAACAGTAGTACTTATTCCTAAGGACCAAAACGAAAAAACTTCGCGGCTGCTGGTTGTCCCGACAAACTGTCTTTATCTTCAAAGCAGACAGCGTCCACCTCGTGCACTCAGGTGGGCTGTCCGAAAATAAAACCGTAAGGAAACAGCTGCATATGAATAAAACGATGTTTTCTTCAAAGTCCGTCTACAGGGGATGTGTAGCAAAAAACCCCTTGCACCTCATCAACGCGTTTCGTCCTGCTACTGAGGACTTTTTCAAGATGTCTCTTGTCATCTTGAAAAAGTCCTCAGTAGCAGGACGAAACGCGTTGATGAGGTGCAAGGGTTTTTTTGCTACACATCCCCTGTAGACGGACTTTGAAGAAAACATCGTTTTATTCATATGCAGCTGTTTCCTTACGGTTTTATTTTCGGACAGCCCACCTGAGTGCACGAGGTGGACGCTGTCTGCTTTGAAGATAAAGACAGTTTGTCGGGACAACCAGCAGCCGCGAAGTTTTTTCGTTTTGGTCCTTAGGAATAAGTACTACTGTTGCATATATATATTTTTCAACATTGTGAGAGTTCATATTTAGGGGGGGTTTTTGTTTGTTAAACTGGGACAATAAATTTTACAGAGTTACACTATATTTGTTTTCTCTGTTTTTGCCTAGGAATGTTCAAGCATCTATTTGAGTCTCCATCCATCTATTCAGACATTGGATGTTACCCCCTCTCTCTTTTTTGATCTTATAAGACTTTTTTTGGACTATTTAGAGACATTTTTCTATACTTCTGTATACTTTTATTGTTATATCTATATATATATTTTTATTTGCATCTTTTCTTCTGTTTATAGTTGTTACATGTGGAGTCTAGATGTTTATTGCAATATTATCTTAACATATTTGCACCCTTGTTATTATCTCAAGGGGAGTATTCACTAAGCGCTGACAATATCTTTAGTACTTGGTTACTACAAATGTTTAACCTTTTTTGAAAATAGTTGCATTTTTGTTTGCAGTCACTAGGGTTGCACTGAAGCTTTAAAACAATATTTTTTTAATGCGGTATGACTCAGTATGAAGAGACTGAGTATACCAGCCAATTATAACAGTGGTTCCCAACCCAGTGCTCAAGTACTCCCTAACAGTCCAGGATTTAGGGATTACCTAGTTGTGTCTAAAGTGTTTTTTCCTCCCCTCTAATAACACCTTAGACACCTTAGACACAACCGGGTAAGCCCTAAATCCTGGACTGTTGGAGGGTACTTGAGGAATGGATTGGGAACCACTGAATTATAATGGGCCATGAGTTTATTCTTGGAATGCTCGTCTAAACACGTGAGGTAAATATTCAAATAAAATTATATCAATGAGAAAAATATTTGAGCCATACCTTGTCTCTACTCCATGGCAGTTATTTGTTTTTTTGTTTTTATTTTATATCAATATATATTTTTTAATTAAAATATTACCTATTTGCCACATTCCGTCATGGAACATCTTCCTCCCTGCCTTATAAATGTGATATAAAACAAACTTAGATTTGTGTGTGCTTTAATCAAGATATATATGCTTATCAACTCTATCAGTATACCAATTTGGAGTTTTTTTCTGTAAAACAAAGCTGCTACAACACTAAATGTGTAATTCTCACAAAACCACACAAACACTTATTGCATATACAGAAAATATTGAAGTGCTATCTTAGTGTAATACATAGACAATTCATATATACATATCTACTAAAAGACACTTAGCTTAATTTGTTGTTGAGGAACTTCAACTCTGTGTGTGTTCCTTTAAATAGAGAAATAAACTGCAATAGTGTAAAAACATTAAAAACATTTGCAAAGCTTTTATTAAGTGGCTCAGAAATATGTGAGTGTGACCAATTATTCACATTTTATATCTATTTGTACTATATTACCCTATGCTTGTCTCCTGTTTTTAATTGCAGGATTCCGTGTGATTATCTTGGTAATATACAAATTTTATTTTATTTGTGTGTGCTTTCACCACTTTTTATTCTTTTATAATACCAATTATACTGTTTATCTTCTCCCAAATAGTTATCTGCTTAACCCCTTAATGACGAGTGTCGGACGAGGTCCGTCACTCAGGGGAAACCCTTAACAACGAGTGACAGACCTCGTCCGTCACGCGGTAAAATTAACCCCAGATCGCCGTGATCGCGGGGTTAATGGTGCTCTGGTCTACCTCTGTATTAGAGGCAGACTGGGAGCACCCGATCTCGCTGTCCAGCACATGTGCTCGCTCTGACAG